GTTAGTGTAATGGTTATGTCGCTGGACTCCCATGTAGTCAACCGCAGTTTGAGTCCCAGACCCGGTGACTTAAACTCATGACAGGCACGTGTGCGTGCATGCCCAGGGTCCCGAAAGGAGAATGGAGGAGAAGGGATTGCGGCATGGCCATCCCCCCTGGGGGGTGATTTATCACTTTCTGTCTCTCTGTCTCTGTCTTTCTGGCAAGCGCACACGCCCTATAGCAAAAAGCCTCTCCACAAACAAACAAACAAACAAACAAACAAAAAAAACCAGCAGGTTCCTTTATAAATTACCTTGCTTTCTGAAAAGCCATTGCTTTCTTTGTGTGCTCAGAACAATTCTGGTTACACTAAAAAAAGGTGGCCCCTTCAGACTGTCAATGGCCCCTCTTGCTCATAGTCATAGCCATTATTTGTACTCAGTTTAAGTCTCACTAAACTTCTACACTTTGTGGATCTTCTGGAATTCTGTGTTCATGAGGTATTATGACCGTTCTATGTGAATGGAGTGGCAAGGAATTGTGGACATACAGATTGTAGTATCTCCGGTGTTCACATGAATGTTCCACTGTCCCATCAGAAATCACATATAAAATAGAAATTCAAACACAGAATTATTATTATTTTTTAAAGAATTACTTTTAAAAAAAACCTTTTATTTATTTATTTATTTATTTTATTTTGACCAGAGAGGGGGGATGAGAGAGAGAGAACCTGAGAAAGCAAGCCGCCAGGTCTGGGACTTGAACCACGGTCGGCCATGTGGGAGTCCAGCACCCTTAACCACCATGCCACTTGCCGACCCCAAACACAAAATTATTAATCACTTCAAGACAGTTAACAACAGAGTATTAAACCAAGTGTGGGGTTCTTCTGAGTATAGGGCTCTGGGTGACTGCCCAGGTGGCATGCCCATGAAATCAGCTCTGAAGTAGCTAAGTCAGGAGTGAACTCATATCTGACTCTCTTAACATATCACACAGAGTCTTTCCTAATAACACACGGCAAAGCATTGATGGAATGATCAATGAATGTTAAGAAGATGAGAAATTTTTAAGAGTCTAAAATAGGTAATGTTAAACTGCTTCCCTTGGGTTCGTTGATGGCTAATACTATGCTCTGAATGTTTGTATGCCACAAAATTCATATATTGAATCCTAAATTGATGGTACTATATAAAATTCTTGGTTAACAGTCTTTTTCTTTCAGTACTTTGAATATATCATCCCACTACCTGTGGCCTGTAGGCTTTCTGATAAGAAATCAGCTGTTAAATTTTACTGTAGATACCTTGTATATGATATGTTGCTTTTTTCTTGTTATTTTCATGATTCTCTTTTTGTCTTGATATTTGATTTTTTTTTTTTTTTAATTTGCTATAGGGCACATGTTCTCATTGGGGAGAAAGACAGAGAAAGTGAGAAAACAACGCCCCCTGGTGGGGGGGATGGATGGGCATGCTGCAATCCCTTCTGCATTCTCTTCTCAGAGTTTCGACATGCATGCCCATGTACCCAGAGTGATTTTCAAGCCTCTGGGTCCACAACTCAAACCATGGAGTCAGTCATGTGGAATCTAGTGCCTTAGCCTCCATGCCACCTGCTGGCCCCAAAGGTAACCTTTTAACCCTATGAAATAAGATGTGACAGCCCCCATTAATAAGAATAAAAAGTCAGTGACTTGGTCTAGTGAAAAATATACAAGAAGCAAGGATGTAAGAATAATTTCCAAAATTTTTAACTTTTAAAATTAATGGTTATTCTTGGAAATATTATACATTCAATAACTCTTTATAAGAATTAGATCACTGTTTCTCTTGAATCTCGCCAACGTTCTTATGGCCCCTGATTCTCTCCTTTTCTGTTTCATCCTCTCATTTTCATTTTTTTCTCTATAATATGTAATTGAGTATATTTGTATTTCTTTGGGGTTATGTGCACTCCAATCTGAGTTTCACTTTGCTCATTATAAAGTAGGAGATACTATCTACTCTGCATACCTGACAGGGTCATTGTGAGTTTCAAAGAATCCTTGTTAAAGCTTCAGAAGCCAGGAGCCAGCAGCAGAGTGGTGGTTAAGGTGCTGGACTCCCACATGGCTGACTGTGGTTTGAGTCCTAGACAGAGTGGCTTGAAAATCATGCCAGTGTATATGCATGCCCAAAGTCCTGAGAGGAGAATGGGGGAAGGGACTGTGGCCTGGTCATACCTACTGGGAGGTAATTTTTCACATTCTCTCTCTCTGTCTCTCTCTCTCCCCCTGGCAAGGGCACATACCCTACAGCAAAAAAACCAAAAACCAAAAAACAAACAAACAAAAAACCACATACACACACACAAAAAAAACCAAAAACAAAACCCAAAACAAACAAACAAAAACCCTACCCGCCCTCAAAAATAAGCTTCAGAAACCCATAAGTTGGCTCCCTATTTCATTCCTTTGCACATTTCCCTCCTCCCACCTTTCACAGTGAAAATGCTTACAAAACATATCCTGATTATTTTTATTAGAAATTAAAATTTTAATATTTCATATGTAATTAAATTGTTACTGCATTTTTTAACATGTGATAGAAACTGATATTTTGAATATTATTACTATTTTCAAAATGTTGCCAAAGGGTACACGTGCTCACCAGAAAGAGACAGAGAAAGAGAGAGAGAGAGAAAGCACTCCCAATGGGGCATGGTTATACCACAATCCTTCTCTATTTCTCCATCGTGTTGGGTTTTTTGAGCACATGCCTATATGTTACTCAAATCACTGGGGCTGGGACTTGAACCTCACTCACAGTTGACCAATGGGATCCAGTGCCTCCCACCACCAGGCTTTGGGACTGGCCCTTGAAGGTTATTTTATAGTTTTTCAAATGTTAGTAATTTTTATATGTTCTTATCAACTCCTCAGATGATTTATCAACTTTAATGTATTTCTATCAATTTTTTAACATTTAAATTCAAAAGCATTAGAAAAGCACTACATTAAAATTTTTAAGAGTCATTTATTTAATTGTATTAATTATTATTATTATTTTAATTTGCTATAGGGTCCATGCACTTACCAGAGAGAGAGGGCAAGTGAGAAAGCAAGGTCTGGGACTCAAACCATGGTTGGCCATGTGAAAGTCCAGTGCCTTAATCACCATGCTACCTGCTGGCCCCAAGTATCACATTAAAAAAAAAAAGGGGGTTTCTATCTTCCTTTCTTGAGTGAGAGACATAGAGAAAGGCAGAAAGACAGGGTCTTGTAACGATTCACTGCCAGTTTCAGCCAGCCCCGGATCATGGAAATGCACACGATCAATGTGTTCAGAGAGGCCTCTGGACGTGAACCTGAAACCTTCCCGTGTTAGAGGGTCATTCTTGCAAAGTACTGTGTTACCGCTGTGCCACTATCTGGCCCCAAGATTTTTTAAACTTAGATTTTAAAGACTGAATGTTACTTAAATTTTAAACAAATAGAGTTAACTTAATTCAAATTTCAAATGCATATTGTAAACTTTATTGGCCTGAAAAGGCTTCCATACTCCTGCTTCGGTTCCATAAGCAAACAACCACAACCTCACTTCGAGGTCTACTATCCTTAGTAAGTGGCCATGTTACAACAAATCAGAGCAGCTAATGCTTCAGTCAGTTACAGACAGCTCACCCTATAAACTATGTTAGTGAAGGTAAACACCAAGCAGTAACCAACCCAATTATTTCTCTACCTTATTCCTTCATTTCTGTTTTTCATACATCACTTTCCCTTTCAGGAGCATAAATGTCACCCTAACATGTGGTTATCTGGAGTTCTTAGAAGCCATTTTGAGAGCTGCCTGATTGGAATGTTAATAGTTTTTCCTCAATAAACCTCCACTAAATTAAACTGTCTGAAGTTTTTCTTGTAACGATATTCAAAAACATAAAATACATGAAAGCTCAAAGTTACTTTTAACTTTAAATTTAAAAGCATCCAAAAAGAAATCAGAATTAGCTGAAATAATCCCAGTATAAATCAGTATAAACTAAAATTTTCTATAGGAACTTTCCTGTCAAAGATGTTAAAAAGACTATTGATCAAGCTCATCTACATTCCAGTTCATATATTCAGTGGCATCAGTAAGGAGGATATTCAGCAGTTGATCCTTGGGTAAATTGGCTGTTTGGTGACCTGGTTTTCTGTGGGCTAGCATTCTATTGATTGGCTTGCTTTCCTGAATAACAGAAAGCATGCTGTTGATAAAGGAAACATGTACAGTTTCTACACAGAAGTCTAATTTTTGCAAATATAGAATGATGTGTTGCTTGTTCAATGAAAGAAAATAAATATAAGAATTATTTAGTATAGGTGTGTGAGGAAAACAGGACAGTGATAAGAACTGGAATGATGAAATGAAGCTAGTCCTGCTCACATATTATACTTGCAAGAGCCAAAAAAGAATCTTAAAGTGAGTTTATAGTAATTAGAATTATATTCTACTATACATAATAGACAACCAAAGTAACTGATGCTTAAATAAGATTAACATTTATTTTTTTCTCACATAAAAGAAATCTAGTGGTGAGAAGTCAAAGGCTGGAATAGTGATTCCTCAGAAGCAGGGGCCATTATCTTTTTGTTCTTCTAGCCTAGTACACTCCAAGAGGGCTGCTGGAGCACCAATCATTGTTTCTGAGGTGAGCGCTGCAAAAAGAGGTTAAAAAAAAGGGACATCTTCCTGTTTTAATCAGCTCTCTCTGAGTAGCCTTCCTGGAAGTTCCATGCAATTTATATTTCTTTAGTCTTTGGGTCTTAGCTGTATCCAAGGAAAACTGGGCAGCAATGTGGGTAGTCAAAATTCAGGTTTTGATAATAAGAAGGAAAGAGAATAAATGCTGGTTTAGTTAGCAGTCTCTGACACAAAGTATTTCTTTTGCATTTTATATTCATGATATTCATGAACTCTAGCAAAACTATTAAAGTTTCTTTTTTGAGGGATGTAGGGAATAATACACAGTATTTTCTTAGAGGACAGAATTCTATTTTTTTAAAGTATTTGTTTCTGTATTCCTGAAGAGTCACACCTACAAACATTAACAGAGACCTACTAACATTAACAGACAGCTTTGGTCCATTCATAGTAGGACGCTACATCTTTTTCTGATTTCTTTTAGGAACAGATACTTGTGTTTTCTTTAACAAATTACTAATCTAAGAATTTCAAACTCTACTATGACCTACAAGCCTCCACTTCCAATGTTTCACCTTTCTGGGTCAGGCCAATGTACAAGACTCCTTATGCTAACTGACAACTCTCCTCTCTCAAAACTAAATAAAAGGAACCACTGTATCTCAGCACCCTGAGATACATTTTTGTCTTTCTTTGGGTTTGTCACTCAATCTTGTGTTTCGAATAAACCACATTAATTACTATTTCTGCAGAGCTTGGTTATTTCCATCAACATCTTCCGATAGAAGGTAGAATTCATAAAGACATATATTGAAATATTTCATTTGAAGACCTTAATGTTATTTTTTTAAAAAAATCAAAATTTGGGGAGACCAGCAGTTAGTGTAATGGCTATGTCGCTGGACTCCCATGTGGTCGACCATGACCCGGACCCGGTGGCTTAAAACTCACCCTGGGCACATGTGCGTGTCTCTCTGTCTCTCTCTGTCTGTCTGGCGAGTGCACGCACCCTGTAGCAAAAACTTCTCAAAAAAAAAAAAAATCAAAATTTTGGCCAGTATGTACTCAACCAAAAAGACAATTTCTCTGGTCATAAGTAGCACATAGTGAATGGAAGGGCAAGTACCAGAAGCCAACCAATGGATCTCGAGGTGGTAGGTCAAGTTTGGTCAAACAGATCGTGCTATAGGTCAGTCATTCCTAATTAGAAAATTCATTATCTAAAATGCTCAATATCCAAAACTTTTCGGGTGCTGACATGACATCACAAATGGAAAATTTCTCACCTGACCTCATGTGAAAGGTTATAGTGAAAACCCTGTAATACAAAAATACTGTATAAATTACCTTCAGGTTGAGTGTATAAGGTATATATAAAGAATAAATTAATTTAAAGGTAGACTTGGGTTCCATCCTCAAGGTATTGCATTATGTATACACAAATATCTCAAAATCTGAAACAAATCTAAAATTCAAAATATCCATAGCCTCAAGAATTTCAGATAAAAAATATTCCACCTATATTACAAAACGATTCTCAGTTGTAGCAAAAAGAAATTTATATATTAATAACAATGTTAGGGTTTTTTACTGTATTTAGAAATTATTTCAAAGCTGTTTTTGCTTCAACCGTCACTTATTCCACTAACCATTTCATCTCCATTCCTGTCCCCAACACTAGCAACCACCAATCTGCCCTGTTTCTATGGATTTATCTAGGGAAATCTTTCATCCCCTATCATTCCCACCAAAATGTGGCCTTAGTCTCACCTAAGGCTTTATTCCACTTCCCTCCTGATACTTAAAATTTGAAATTTTTACTTCTTTTCTGTTCCTCACCCAAACCCCATCCCACTTAAATGCCTTGTGAACTTAAATAAAGTAGATCATGTGTGGTAATTTTACTATCAGATTTCTCTGCCACTGATTCTAATGTCATGCATTTACCTACTTACTTGTATTTCCAGTGTTTCGATGTTGGAAATGGTCCCTTTTAATTGACACTTGTTGCATTGTGGTTTATGACCAGGAAGTGGTTTTTACATACCTGCAACTGCAGTTTGTCAACAACACACAGACCTACAAGAGGTGACAAAATATATCATCATAGGAGGGGGCTCCCAGTATTTGTACTCTGTTACATTCTTGCATTTTATTTGAAGAAAAGATCATATGCCATATTGAGCTTCCTCATACCAAATCTCTCCCTTATGCTTGAAAGTTCTATTTAGTGGCCCTTATTTCCCTAATGAATAAATACTTTGAGACTCTGCCATGGGCCAGTCACTGTTCCAGCCAAGACAAATGCAATGGTGAACAAGACAGACAAAATCCTTGCCTTCATAGAGCTTACACTCTAGTCAGGGAGACATAAACAAAGATATGGTAAAATATCAGGAAGAGATACATAGTATGAAGCAAATAAAGCAAGGTAATGGATGGGGGGCAAAGTATGACAAGAGACAGATGCTTTTTTAGATAGGCTAGTTGGGAAGGCCTGAATAATGAGAGAATGGAGGATATCTGGGGAACATAACTTTATTCTGAACAATGCAATAATGACCATGAGTAAAATAATGATTATTTATGAACTTAATAAAACCCTTTTTATTATAGAAAATTTCAAATCTATATGAAAAGTAGAGAGAACAATATAATGAACCCCATGTACCCATTACTCAGCTTCAGTGATCACCAAGTCATGGCCAATTTTATTTCCTCTATACCCTTGCTCTCCTTGCATTTCCTGGATTTTTTAAGTTTTGTTTTTGTTTTGTTTTGTTTTCCATGAGTAATACATCCAGAGAAAGAGAGGAAGACAGCATTCCCAATAGGATCTTGCTGCTATATTTCACCCCAAGCCTCAGCCAGCTTCAGATCATGGGCATGCACATTCTTGGCTCTAGGTACAAACCTGGAACCCTCCTATGTGGGTCAACCTTGCATAGCATTGCTTTACTGTTCACCATCATCTGGCTTATACTGAATCATTTTGAAGTAAATCATATCATTGTATTATTTTTATCTGTAAATTATTTCAGTATGTATCTCTCAAAAATAACTTCCTTTTTTTTTTTTTTTTTTTTTTTTTAAGAGAGAGAGAGAGTTTTTAAGGGTACATGTGCTTGCTGGAGGGACAGAAGGAGACAAAGAGACAGAAAGCGAGAAATCACTCCTCCAGGGGGGATACCCATGCCACAATCCTTTCTCCTCCATTCTCCTCTTGGGATTTTGGGCACACACACACACACACACACACACACACGCACACACACACACCTGGTCTAAGTTTCAAGCTGCAGGGTCCAGGACTTGAACCATAGTCATCTATGTGGGAATCCAGCGACGTAACTATTAAGCCATCTGCTGGTCCCAGACAACTTCCCTTTTAGATGTAACTAAACATCACACCCCCAGAGCCAATGATAATTTTATAATATTATTAAATATCTAGCCAATATTCATATTTCCCCAATAGTCCATGAACTTTTAAAAGAAAACAAAACATGCATTTCTGTTAGTCCTAAAATAATTTCTGTGAAGGCACTAAAGGAAAAACATAATTTTTTTTTAAAATTTTTTTCTTCTTTTTAAAGAATCCTTTTATTTAAATTTTATTTATTTATTTATTTAAATTTGACCAGAGAGGGACAGGGGAAGGGGAGATAGAGAGAGAAAAGAGAGAGAGAAAGTGAACAAGAAAGCCAGGTCCAGGACTCGAACCACAGTTGGCTATATGGGAGTCCAACGTCCTTAACCATCACACCACCTGTCGGCCCCTCAATTTTTTTTTATTATCTTTTTTTTTTTGAGAGGTTTGTGCTATAGGGCACGTATGCTCGCCAGAAAGACAGAGAGACAGAAAGCAAGAAATTACCCCAAGGGGGTGATAGCCGTGCCACAATCCCTTCTCCTCCATTCTCCTCTTGGGATATTAGGCACACATGCATGAGTTTAAGCCATTGGGTCTGGGACTCAAATCATGGTCGACTATATGGGAGTCCAGCGACATAGCCATTATGCCATCTGCTGGTCCCAAAAAACATCAATTTTCTATCAACAACTTTTCTTCTAGATCCAGTCTGTTCTGCTATAAGTGTAGGCCTGAATGTTAGTTCATGACGACTAATGGATAAGGAAGATAATGATAGCAAAGTAACCCCTTGAGTCACATGCAGTTTTTTCAAGCACATTAATATTTTTTACTGTCATGGAATAGCAGTTGAACACAAAGTACAGTACTCAGCTGAATGTAGCCAATACATGAGAAATGGAATATTTGATGTGAGGCCCTTCACCTACACTTCCCTCTTGGCTCAGTTTGGCAACCAGTCTCTCCATATGCTTATGTATTTTGTTACCTCTATGACTCAGCAGCCTCAGCTCTTCCTCACACCGCCTTCTGTCAAGCTATCTTTTTTTTTAAGACAAACTACTGTGTTTACTATAATGCTTTTTGTTACAATTTAATCTATTTTTTAACTATCTAGATCATTGCTCTTCTGTTGTTAGTGCTGTGGTTATAAAATTTTTAACAGTCTGTCTCAATTCTATTTTCAACATAGAAAAAAGGTCGTGGGAACCAGCAGTTAGTGTAATGGCTATGTCGCTGGACTCCCACGTAGTTGACAGCAGTTCGCATCCTGGACCCGATGGCTTAAAACTCACGCCAGGCACGTGTGCGTGGGTGCCCAAGATCCCGAGAGGAGAATGGAGGAGAGGGGATTGCGGCGTGACCATCCCCCCAGGGGGTGATTTCTCGCTTTCTGTCTCTATGTCTCTCTCTGTCTGTCTGGCGAGCGCATGCGCCCTATAGCAAAAACCTCTCCAAAAAAAACAAAAACCGAAAAAAAAAGGTCGTTAATGATTATGGAACCCATTTTATGGGTGAAAATATTGAATTATAAAAAAATCAAATAATAATTCTTAAAAATAATTTACAAATGATCCTGATTTGCACTATTACCCATATTGTGGGAAATAACACAATAATGAGTCCACATCTCAAACCCCAAAAAATCAGAAAGATTTCAGGGAATTGGGAACCTAAAATTGTTGCTCACAAAGTAATGGCTTATGAAAACATTAAATGAATTAAATATGCCCAAAGATATAGATATTTCCTCCCCTTTTATTTATTTATTTATTTAGCCTTAGGGTATATGTGCTCGACAGGGAGAAAGTAGGGAGAAAAAAGAGACAGAGACAGTGAGATGGAAAGTGAGAAATCACCCCCTGGGGGGATGGCCATGTCACAATACCTTCTCCTCCATTCTCCTCCTGGAATCGTGGGCATGCATGTGCATACAACCCAATGTGAATTTCAAGCCACTGGATCCAGTAGTCAAACTGCAGTTGGCTATGTGGGAGTCCAGTGATACAACTACCATGCCATCTGCTGCCCTCACCTCTCTCTTTTTTTTTTTAATCCCAGATTACAATGAGAGTATAAAATATGCTACTATAAAAGTCCTAGGTGAACTGTCAACAAACTGTAAATATATTATAATGAATAAACTGTTCTCTAATTTGGTATATCAGACTAGCTACTTACCTTTATCTGAAATCCCAATACCTTGAATTTTCCAAGTAGTTAGAAAATCAGGTAGCACCAATTCTAGCTGATACCTGGAAAATAAAATAGTTTATAGCTGTAGAACATAGGTGACCCATAGTTAACTTAAAATCATTTTAACATCATTTCCTACTACACAGAATGTTTGTGATTTCCAATATAGGTTCTTGAGTCAAATCACAAGGAAACAAACTTAAATCACTGACCATGAGTGGAGAGGGGGTTAAGAAAAAGTCAGAGGGCAATGAGGACTCTTGCATATTCAGAATGATTAATACATTGTATTAAGTTGAGCCATATGAAATTGCTGTTTGTGTAGGTCAAATGTTTGAATACCAGCAAATACATATGATTCAATCTAACACTAGGTTGAGATGACTATAATAAAGGAAGTTTCAGAAATCAGAAATCCATTTATTGGCCAAGTGGGCACAAGTGGTAGATGCCACTGTGAGAGGCTGGAGCCATGTGGAAGGCCAGGAATTTGTTTTTGACCAACCTAAATAAGCTGAATATGGTGGCACACACCGCTAATACTAACTAACTGGAAGGCTGAGTAAGAGGATCTTGACTTGTGATCCTGTCAAAAACATCTGCCTATCATCTTTCTCTCTTTTTCTTTCTTTTTTGCTCTCCCAAACAAATAAACACAGTTTATTAGTTAATTTATCTGTTCCATGGACATTTCCTAAAGCTCTTCAAGGCTCATCCTGGAGACTACTTTTAGCGATAAATAATGAAGAATCTACCTTCAAAAAATTTACTCTAGAAGAGGAGGAAATTATGTAAACAAATTATTATAGAGGCTAATAAGAACTTCGGGAGAAGTATGTAGAAGCTATAGTGTGAATGCAAAGAAGTAATTCTTTGGAGGCTACTTTTTGGAGAACACAGAATCTGAGCTCAGTTGTTAAGGGTAAAATGGAGTTTGTCAGTAGTGGGAGAATAAGAAAGAGGATTTTGGGACCAGCAGATGGTATGGTGGTTATGTGCCTAGACTACCACATGGCCTACTGAGGTTCAGTCCTGGACCTTGTAGCTTCAAAATCACATGGGGTGTGTGTATGTGTGTGCCCAAGATCCTGGGAGGAGAATGAAGGAGAAGGGAATGTGGGCATGGCCATCCCCCCGGGGAGTGATTTTTCACTTTCCCTATTACCGTGTGTATGTGTGTGTGTGTGTGTGTGTGTGTGTGTGTGTGTGTCTGTCTGTCTGTCTCTCTCTCTGGGGAGTGCACACACCCTAAGGCGAAAACCTTAAAAAAAAAAAAGAGAAAGAAAGAAAGGAAGGAAGGAAGGAAGGAAGGAAGGAAGGAAGGAAGGAAGGAAGAAGGATAGGTCATAGAGGTTCTGGGTGGGAAGTGGCATGACCAGACTGAGATTTTAATCACTCGTGTGGCTATATTTGGAAAACAGATTAGAGTAGAGAGGTGGATAAGGCTGGCATCAGGGAGAGCAGGGTTTGCTGCTGGACATCATGCAAGTCATGGTAACTGAATAAAAACCCATCATTTCCTCAGCCTTATGGCTAATCAGTGTTTTACAGTATGTATTTATTGCATAACAAATTATTGTCTCCTTTTATTTGTTACATATGAAAGTAGGACTGGAAAGACATGCCTAAATGGATAATATTAATTATTAGAGACTTTTATTACTAAGTTTTCTGGAAAGATTGAAATAACTGTATAAAAGTATAAAACCAAACTATCACCAGATATCATACACGATAAAAGTTCAAGGTAAGTGAAATGGTGTCCTGCAAAGATAATTTATTATGCAGCTAAGGGAAAAACCAACCTCCAAACCAAACAAATTAACCTTGATCAAATGTTGGTGCTATCTTTAATTATAAAAATAAAATACCCTTAGACATGTGAGAGATCATTTATTCATTATATTTGAATATTTTTAAATTTTCCTTAAAACAAAAAAAAAGAAGCAGTAAAGTCTTAAAATACCTGTTAGGAACATGATATACTTCCCATAACCAATTTTCTCTAAAATTGTTGCTGGCAACACTTATCATGTATGTTTCTAAATTAAAAAAAAGAAAAACATAGGGTAAACATAATTTATGATAGAGCTAGAAAAAAAGAAAAAATATAGGGTAAACATAATATATGATATAATTAAATGTTAAAGTATAATGGTATTTTTTTATGACAGCTTGAACTAATGACTGAATAATGACAACTTTACAGAAATACACATATTCACACAGAGAGATACAAATGATGGTTTTTAATACTGAAAATGTGAAAACAACTGAAATATTGATTGTAGTTGGTTGACTCGTAGTCTTCAAAAGACATGTCCAAATGCCCTGGAATCTATGAATGTAATCTTATTTAGCCATAGGATTGGTTTTTTTGTTTGTTTGTTTGTTTTTGTTTTTTTTTAGAGGTTTTTTGCCATAGGACTGGTGCGCTTGTCAGACAGAGACAGAGACAGTGCAAGGGAAAATGAGAAATACCCCAGGGGGGAGATGGCCGCACCACAATCCCTTCTCCTCCATTTTCCCCCCACCCCAGGATCTTGGAGACACATATACACACAGCTGGTGTGAGTGTCAAGTCACTATGTCTGGGACTCAAATCATGATCAGCCATGTGGGAATTCGGCGACATAATGCTACACCATCCGCTGGTCCCTGAAAACAGGGTTTTTATAGACATAATTAAGTTAACGATCTTGAAATGAGATCATCCTGAATTAGGGTGAACCTTAAATCCTTAGATGCCCAAGTTAGATGTGAGATACAAGGTGTCTTTGGAAGTGACAGAAAAGGAGAGAAACACAGAACATAGAAAAGACAACCACGGAAAGACAGAAGCAGAGATTAGAGTGTGTCTACAACCCAAAGTCTGCCAAAGAATACCAGGAGTCCCCAGGTGCTTGGAGACAGGGAAATTTTCTCTGCAAAGACTTTGGAGGGAGAGTGACCTGAAGACACTGTGATTTTAGATAGCTGGTATCTGGAACTGGGAAAGAATAAATTTGTTGTTTTAAGCTGTCAAGTTTGTGGAATTTGTTATGGCCTCCCTAGAAAACTAATACATCTATTAATATGTAAATGATGAAATAAATTGCCAATATTATCAAATCTTGGGAAATCATTAAAAAGAATGAAACAGATTTCTCTGTACTAATGTGAAAATAAATTCACAATATGTTGCTAACTTTTTTAAAAATTATTTTATTTTTCTTTCTTTTTTTTCTTTTTTTATTTTTTTTAGAGGTTTTTGCTATAGGGCGCGTGCACTTGCCAGACAGACAGAGAGAGACAGAGAGACAGAAAGCGAGAAATCACCCCCCAGGGGGATGGCCATGCCGCATTCTCCTCCATTCTCCTCTTGGGATCCTGGGCACGCGCGCACACACACGCCTGGCGTGAGTTTTAAGCCACCAGGTCCGGGATGCAAACCACAGTCGACTACGTGGGAGTCCAGCGACATAGCCATTACGCTAACTGCTGGTCCCTGTGTTGCTAACGTTTTTTTTGTTTTTGTTTTTTTTTCTTTGGGAGAGGTTTTTCCTATAGGGTGTGTGCGCTTGCCAGACAGAGAGACAGAGAGATAGAAAGTGAGAAATCACCCCCCAGGGGGGATGGCCACACCGCAATCCTTTCTCCTCCATTCTCCTCTCGGGATCTTGGGCACGCACGCACACGCGCCCAGAGTGAGTTTTAAGCCACCGAGTCTGGGACGCGAACCGCGGTTGACTACATGGGAGTCCAGCGACATAGCCATTACGCTAACTACTGGTCCTGTTGCTAACGTTTTTAAAAAGCACAGTGATAAGGTATATGTATTTCATTTTTGTAGCGTGATCTCATTTATTTTGAAATATGTTAACAGTAATTGACTCTCTGAGAGAAAGGAAGTGGCAAAGGTTTTAAAATATTTACCCTTAAATTTTTGATTAATTTTCCTTTAAATTTGTATTGGATTTAAAATATCCCTGTAGGTGGGAACTAGCAGTTAGCGTAATGGCTATGTCGCTGAACTCCCATGTAGTCAACCACGGTTCGTGTCCGGGACCCGGTGGCTTAAACTCATGCTGGGCGTGTGTGTGCGTGGGTGCCCAAGATCCTGAGAGGAGAATGGAGGAGAAGGGATTGTGGTGTGACCATCCCCCCGGGGGGTGATTTC